CCTGGGCCCTCAGGGTCCTTGGGAGGCCAGACTCCTCACCCGCCAAGCTTGGTTCCCACCCCCGTCGCCATGGGAACAGCTCCACTAACTCTATGCTTCTCTTACAGAGCAGAGACGACTGGCCGCCCTGAGCGCAATTCAATTCAACAGACATTTACTGAGTGCCTACTATGCGCCAGGCCTTAGGCTAGGCACTGGGCTGGGGGAACAGCGAGGAAGACGGGGCCCCCATCCTCAGGTAGCTCCAGGCTGGGGGGCTCGGAGAGGACAGGCTAGGGCTGGACGACAGCTCGGAGCCAGGAGAGAAGCTGCCTGCGGGGCTGGAAGCAGCAGAGATTCCTGGGTTCCAGTCCGTCCCTTGTCTGTGCCTCAGTTTGCCCATCTGTAAAATAGGGGGGAAGGGGAGGGGTGAGACAGACTCTAAGGTCCTTCCAGGAGTCCATGGGGATGGGGTAGAGCAGGGAGGCTTACCACTCCCCGCAGAGGAAACCTCTGAGAGCTGCTCCGGGCTGCAGAGGCGTGGGGGCGGCGCCCCAGGCTCGGGACAGCACGAGCAGAGGCCCAGGGGACACACAGGTGGCAGCCCTGCAGCTCGGTGGGCTGTGAGATGTCCCGGGTCTGAGCTTAGAGAGGGAGGGCGGGCCCAGGGCTTTACGTGGGGGTGAGAGCTCTGTTCTGTGAGCTGCTGAGGATGGACCTCGAGAACAGATGGTCCTGCTCTGTCCTGCGCCTTCTCCCCCCTCTCTCCCTGGGACACCCTTCAGGGTCCCTTTCCTACGGGAGCTTGTGGCCCTATAGGGGTCGAGCCTGCACGGGGCCAGGCCCTTTACACTTAGTCCCCATGGCAACCCTAAGAGAGGAGCATTGAGGGTCCCGCTCCACAGGTGAGGATGCCCAGGCTGAGAGGGGAGCTTTTGGCCCAAGGTCATGATCTGACCCTCCAACTCCCCCTCCCCCCATGCTTCTCCCACTAGTGCTCACTAAGGGGGGGTTTGTGTCTGTCTAGTGGGACATCTCCCATCCTAGAAGGTCCCAAGCCCTGAGGAGCGTCTGCTGAGGCCACCGCAGATGGGCTTGGAGGGGAAGGGGGTCCCTCAGATGTTAGCAGGACGGGCTTTCTCCAAGACCTGAGTGTTTGCCCCCACAGTGACCCTCTGAGATGGGGCGTGAGGCGGGGCTCCTTCCCACTTTACAGATGAGCAGACTGAGGCTCTGGGAGTCACGTGGCTAGGTCAAGGTCGTGGCAGTGACATCCTGGGTAGGAGTCCCATCTCCTTATTAATCCTTATCTCTGTTCGAGTCCCCGAAGATTTGTGCAGAAGCTGACCCCACAGGCACACCCCCTCCCCCACCCCCTTTCCAGGGAGTGGGAAAGACTGACATTGGAACCACAGACCTGGGCTGACATCTGGGCTTTGTCTCACACAGATGCTGTGATCCTGAGCAAGTCATTCATTGCTCTGAGCCTCCATGTCCTTATCTCTAAGGGGGAGCAGGCTCCTTCCTCAGTCACTAATCCATCTGTGCTGAGCACCTTCTGGGGCCTGGTGCTGGGTTCCAATCCGGAGCTCAGTCTGGGTGTAAAAGCAGCAGTTATGAGCCCAGTTATGATGGAGGAAGCCCGGGGGGCAGTGGGAACCCTTAGAAAGACCCCAATCTGAACATTTTATTTTTTTAAAATATATTTTATTGATTTTTTTTTTTTTTTTTACAGAAAGGAAGGGAGAGGGATAGAGAGTCAGAAACATCGATGAGAGAGAAACATCGACCAGCTGCCTCTTGCATACCTCCTACTGGGAATGTGCCCACAACCAAGTTACATGCCCTTGACTGGAATCATACCTGGGACCTTTGAGTCCGCAGGCCGATGCTCTATCCACTGAGCCAAACCGGTTATGGTCCAATCCGACCATTTTAATTGGTGGTGGTGGTGTGGGGAGGCAGGAGGGCACGGGAGGAGAGCAGGAGCCAGCTCCACAGACCCCAGTTGCCCCAGAGCAATAGGAAGCCAGCAAAGGCTTCTGAGCGGAGAGTACCAGGCTCAGAGTTACGTTTCAGAATTGGCTCACCCTCCGCTGGGTGGATGGGTGGAAGGGGAGGTCAGACGGGGGCAGAGGCCAGCGAGGATGCTAACGGAGAAATGCAAACTGAGGCACAGGGAAGGAGCCGGGAGCAGAGCAGGAGTAGTGAGCAGGCACACAGACTTTCCAGGTCCAGGGAGCTGGGCAGCTGAGGGTGCTTCTCGATGGTCAGGGGCTGGGGGGCAGCAGCAGCAGCAGTGGGGAGGCGGCAGGTGCGAGAGGCGAGTCCAACAGAGGACGTGGATGGAGGAGCTTCAGGTGCCAGGAAGGAGGCAGCTGGGACCAGTGGTCTGGGCATGGTCAGCACTTGGGAGTTGATAGAAGAAGTCTCGGGAGGGAATGAGATGGGGAGGGGGGACTGGGAGAGGAGGGCAGGTGGCTGGGATAGGACCCCAAGGAAGGCAGCCGAGCTGGAGGGGGGCAGCCCGGGGAGTAGAAGGAAGGTGTCAGGACGTAGGGGAGGTCGGAGGGGAAATGACAGGTCACGTGTGTCAGGTGCGCTCCCAGTGCCAGGTGCACAGGGGGGCCCGGGAGGGGCGGTTTCCACCTGTCTCCTCACGGGAAAGCAGACTGATAGGGCAAGCAGAACCCAGTCTGTCCCCTCGCCATCTGGAGGGGGAAGGTGTTGGGGAAGGAGGGAAAAGAGGGAAAGACATTTGCATGCATAACGAGGCTGGAGCAAGGGAGAGAGAAAGAGGGAGCAGGAGATGAAAAGAAATTTCCATACGCCAGGATCTTGTTATTCAACCCAATTTTCAAAGGACCACAGCTGTCGCACTGAGATAATCCGTTAATTATAACAGCCATTGTGCTTGGCAATGGGCGAGAAACAGAGGCTGGGGGCCGGGCTGTAGGAGGTGTGGGGGGCAGGTCTTGGTGGGGCCGGACCTAGGAGAGGGGCCAGGCGTAGGCGAAGAGAAGTGTGCTGCCTTCAGGAATGACAGGAAGACCCTGTCGGGGGCCAGGCCTCACCCCTTTCCTGCTGCCACCCTGACGAGGGCCACGATAACCACACCGGCAGCAGCTAACTTTATTGAGCACTTACTATGTGCCAGACCCTGCTTGTAGCTTATTCCCTCTGTGGTCCCCGACCCCCCGAGGTAGTGCCCTTCTGGTCCCATTTTACAGAAGAGGAGACTGAGACTCAGAGGAAAGGAGTAGCTTGCTGCGGTCATGGCCACGCTGCTGGTTCAGCAGCTGAGCTGGGATTTGAGCTGAATGCGGCCCGCCTTGCCAGGGAGGGCTGGCCTCCGTGGCTTGGCCACTCTGACTTGGTGGCCATGTGTCCCAAGCAGTGGCTTCTGCGCAGCTAGCAGTCATGGGATGCCCCTCTCCCCTCAACCCCCATTTCTGGGCTCCTCTGCGGGGACAGAGCTTCCTTGTTCTCCGAGGCCACAGCTGCAGGCCTCTGAGGGCTCCCCCACCCGCTCCCGAGGAAACAGACTCAGTGCCAGGAGAGCGACCCCATGTGACAGCCGCTTTGGGGTTGTGATGGGTTTGTGGCCCCAGGAGGGGCTCTCCTCCTGGCTCTGGTGGCCTGCCAGCCCTGGGTGCCAGTGTCTGGAGGAGCTGTGGGAAGCTCAGGCGAGGAGAACCCAAAGGCTGTGGGAGAGCCGTGGGAGTGAGGGGCCACCCCAGAACCCCCAGAGCCTGGTGCAGCAGGGGCTGCTCCGGGGCGGGGCTTCAGCAGCCAAGGCCTTAGGTCTCCTGGTGTCCAACAGCCCTGGCCGGACCCTCAGCCCTGGCCAGACCCGCAGCCCTGGCCAGCGGGCGGTGTCTGATGGGGTGGGAACTGTATTTAGGAGTGAGGAGCCCATTCACCCCACCAGGAGCCCCAAACTCCACTCAGCAATCCAAGCAGCATTGTTGAGGAGCCCGGGGCCCCACGGAGTGACAGGCAGGTTTGGGGGGGCCCTCTGGGTGCTCCCCTGGTTTGGGGTTCCTACCCCAATGGGCTTGCTTGGAGCCAAGCTGATGGGGGTTGTGAACGGGTCAGAGCAGCTTGAAGTTGTGTAGGACTAGTGATCCCTGAGGCAGGACTCAGAAGACATTTAGGACCGAGGAATCATAGAACTCTTGAGCCCCAGATGCATAATAAGAGAGTCCCCCCCAAAAGAAGCAGAGCCAGGGAGGCAGGGATGGTGGTACCTTGGGTCCCAGACCAGGAGGCTCATAGGATTCCCCCAAACAGGCCAGGCTTCTAATTGGCTCCAGTCTGGTCTTCCCTCTGTTGCTGACCTTGAAATCCCCAATGCCCCCGGGGTCAGTGGGAAGCTCAGCCGAGAGGCAGGGAGGAGGGCCCACCAGGGCTGTGACACCGGCTCTGCTGCTGATGGGGTGCAGACCCTGCTGGCCTCGCCCCCCAGGGTTTTCAGTGGATTCCGGAAATGGAGATTTTAAAAATAAAACCTCCTAAGTCTTTACCTTTGAAGGCCCGGATGAAAGAGGAATTCACGGCATCTCCTCATCCAAAGCCGGTGTCACGGAGGGCCAGAGCCACTGCGGAGCCGCTGTGAGGCCTCAGTTTCCCCCTCTGTAAAGTGGGAATAAGGAGAAGGTTGTGCTGAGGGTTCAACCCGACAATACGGGATGTGCTCAGGCCCAGCCCCCGCGAGCCCAGGACTGTTCTCATCTGCCCCAGGCGTGCAGCCTCTCCAGCCAGGCTGCCTCGGAGGGGGTCACACCCCCTGCCACCGGGAGCCTCCATTTCTCCCCCCGGGGGGGCGGGGTGCAGGGGTGGAGGGGGGCCCTGATACACCACTCTGCCTTGGGACAGCCCTGAGGATGTTGGAAGGCAGGGAAATGTCACCCCCTGAGGCCCCGGAGCAGGAGCAGGTGGGAGAGGCAGAGTCCAGTGGGAGGGCGGGCCTAGCTGGCGCCTAGTACATAGTAGGTGCTCCATAAATGTTTATTGAATGAATGAATGGAGGCCATGCAGGCAGAGGCAGCCGCGCGTGCGCAGGCACTGGTGAAAGCGGGTCCAGTGAAGACTGGTGAGTAGTGCCCGGGGCTGCAGCTGAGTGGGGGCCTGGGGTTTGCTGGAGCCAAGGCCAAGAGGCCAGAAGGGACCAGGCGGGGGAGGCAGGGACCAGGTGGGGGGTCAGGGGCTAAGTTGGGGGGTTCAGGGGCAAGATGGATGAAGGCAGGGACCAGGTGGGGGAGGCAGGGGCTAGGTGGGGGGGGGGGTCAGGGGCAAGATGGATTAAGGTAGGGACCAGGTGGGGGGTCAGGGGCTAAGTGGGAGGGGTCAGGGGCAAGGTGGATGAAGGCAGGGACCAGGTGGGGGAGGCAGGGACCAGGTGGGGGGTCAGGGATCAGGTGGGGGGTCAGGGGCTAGGTGGAGGGGTCAGGGGCAAGGTGGATAAAGGCAGGGACCAGATGGGGAAGGCAGGGGCCAGGTGGGAAGGCAGAGGTCAGGCGGGGGGACAGGGGTCAGCTTGGGGAAGGTAGGGGTCAGGTGGGGAGGCAGTCATCTAAATAACCTAGAGGACTCTGGGAAAGCCAGATATGACCCCTGAGGAGGGAGTAGGAGATGGATTTGATACCGGCCATCCTTGGCTGTGGGCAGGGGTATCACATGCTCTACCAGGTGCCTGGCGGGGGGTGAGGGGTTGCTGGGCTGCTTGGGGCTGGGGAGTGGGTGCCAGGGAGTGGCCGTGCGACCTGTCTCTGAAGAGCTGCCACAGAGCCAGGGTTGGGCCTCTCCTGCCAGGCTGCTGGGCGGCTTGCCAAGGCCAGGCCTCTGGTAAAACCCTCCATCCTCCCGCCCACACGCCTTCACTGAGGCCCAGACACCGCACAGGAGCTAACGACACATGTGATACACCCTGGGAGCAGGGGAGGCCTAGGGGCCGCTGAGTGCATGGGAATGGCCCAGGCGCAGTGCCCAGGGGGCTTCGGGGTGGGCCCGGGAACCTGAGACCCACGTGCACAGCTCTTCTCCCTGCACAGATGAGGAAACTGAGGCCCAGAGGGGTAAGGCGCTGACCGGCCAAGGTCATGTAGTGCCCTCACTGCCTGTCACACTGCAAACCAGTCCAGGCCTCTTCTCGGGCCAAGGTGGCTGGGCCGGAGATGAGTGCCGGCACACCATGGCCTGGCACACCGAGGCCTGGCACACCCAGCTGCTGCTGCTGCTGAGCAGGGTGCTTCTTACTGAGCTCTTCTGGGTAAGTCGGAGCTCAGTGCAGGGCCGGGCACATAGTAGGTGTGCCGTAAACACTGTGGGTGTGTAAGGCACGTGGGTGAGTGTGTCGCTAATCGGACAGCGTGCCCCGCCTCCCCCAGGCGTGAACTGCAGGCCTGGTTCCCGCTTCCTTCTGACACGGACACGGATGCCGCCGTGGCCTGCTCGCCCCGCGCAGGATGGCACAAAGCCAGGAGCAGGTGCCGGGACCGGGGGGCAGGGACCCAGCTCCCCTGATTTGTGGAGCAGCTGGCACAAGGGCATGAGACTAATCAGACCTGATTGAATGGGGGTGGACGGACACCCAGTTCCTCGGGTGAAACCCAAACAGAGGACGCTGTGAGGGCATCGGAGCTGCCTGGCGGTGTGTGTGAAGGGGGTTTGGCTGGCATCAAGGACAGCGAGGTGAGGTCACAAAGCTGGCACACTCTCACTGCTCTGACAAGCACGATGTCAAACCTGGGAGGCAGAGGCCCCTGGTGCCCACGGCTGCTTAGAGCACATTGGCACAGGTGCTTGGCTCCTGCAACACATTTTCAGGAGGGACTTTGACAGCAAGTGTGACCCTGAGCAGCTGGACCCAAGGGTGGGAGGAGACTGGACACAGTGGTGCAGGAGGAGCAGTGGAGGACTTGGATAAGCAGAGGCTCAAGAGAACAGGTTAGCACACGCCGGAAGGGCCTTGGAAGGGAACTACTGGCCATTTCTCAGTGGCTCCCGACAGCACTGGGCCCGGTGAACAGAGGAGTGGAGCCGGGCGGGGCTGTGTGACATAAGACATTCCTAATGATCAGAGCTTTCCAGGAAGGAAGTGAGTGGCCTCAGACGGGAGCAGGAACCCCTGTCATTGGGGGCATGCGAGTTGGGGGGAAATCACCTCTGCAGGGCTTCTGGAAAGTCGGGCAGTTGCAGGATCTCAGGCTGCTCCAGGCTCCTGGCTGTGTGGTCTTGGGTGGATCCAGGACCGCTCTGAGCCTGGTTTCTCAGCCTGTGAAACAGAAAACGTAAGCTGGGGGTGAGATGGGGCTAAGAGGAAGGCTCAGCACATCCCTGGCACAACGTGAGCACCCCATAGGAAGTGGGGTTCCTCCCTCTGTTATTTAGCACCCTGTCCCTAGCCCTGAGCTCCCATTCTACACGTCATGTCCTGGGCGTGTGCCCCATGCCTGACTGTGCTCCCGGTTTGGAGGTTACAGCAGTGAACAAGATGCAGCCGGCTTTGATTTCATGGTGGGGCGGAGAGGGTGTGATGATAAAGAAATAAATGATGCCAGGCAGTGCTAAGCGCTCTGAATGGACTAAGGCATGGCGGAGATGACCTACTGGTGTCAGGGAAGGGCGGGTTTGCGGGGAGCAGTTGAGCAGAGGCCTGAATGAGGTGATGGGCTGTTCAGATACCGGGGAAAGAGCATCCCAGGCAGAGCAAATGGCACGTGCAAAGGCCCTGTGGTGGAAGGGGCCTGGAGTAGTGCAGCCGGCCTGGAATCAGGGCTTCTGCTTGAGGGAGAAATTGCAGTCTCTGCTTGTGCGCAGTCCACGCCGCACGCTTTCCTGGTGGGGAGGGAAGTGCGGCTGCTTTCCTGGAAGGAGCAGGAAACCCACCAGACACCCATGCACGTCCAGGCCCTGCCGTGGGACCAGCTACTTCGAGGAAGTTGGGCAAGGAGAGAGCCTCCGTTTTCTCAACTGGAAAATGAGGCTGCCCAAAAGTGCCAGCTTCGCAGGGCGATGGAAGGTTCGAGGGACATACATGTCAGACACCGGTGAGCCAGGGGGTAAGGGACAGCCACGACTGTCTTCCAGGGGCAGAGGCTGGAGCCAGGGAGCGGCATGCATGTGCTCTGTGTCACACAGCTCAGCATTTACTCCGAGGACCCTCTGCCTCCGCATCCACGCGTTGTTCTCTCTGCCCTGCCCTGGGCTCCTTCCACCTGGAATCCAAACGGTTCCGCGGTGAAGGCCTGGCTATCCCGTTTTAGAGGCGAGGACGCAGGGCCCAGAGCGGCCTGCCGAGGAAGTCTTGTGAGGTGGAGCAGAGACAAGACCCAGGGTCCGGCCCCGGGGACGGCAGGCTGTGTTGAGAGGGCAGTGCCATAGCCTGTCTCTGGGACCCTGGCCTGGTGCTGGCTCCCAGCAGAGAGAGGTGAGGTGGCCGCCGGCCCTGGGAATTCTGGCTCCTCCCAATCCGGGGAATGGCATTGACACAGACAGTGACGGTGGCACCTCGGGGGGCCTTGGCCAGTCTGTCCCAGGCCGGCCTGTGCCAGGGCTGCCCAGCGCTTGCCAATGAGATTTCCCTGGCTGAGCCTCGTGTCCTGCTCCTGGGAGCTGGAACACCAACTGCCTCCACCACTCGGGCCCTGGACCCTCCGAGGCCCCCGCAGGGGGGTGGCCCTGTAAGCGGGAGCCTGAGGCGGAGCATTTGCTGGGTGTAAGCAGACACCATCTCCACGTGTCCTGGAATTCCATGGGAGCCGGGAGATGGTGGAGAAGCTGAGGTTCGGAGAGCCCTGTTGCATCTTCCTTGCTGACCCCTGCTCCCCACCTCCACCTCCCCCCCACACACTTGGCCAAGGGACACTCAGGCAGGCCTCACCTGTCCATCCTCTCACCTGGCCCCAGGAGGTGGGAGGCCAAGACGCTGAACCCTGGGCAGCAGCCCTGTGAGGTGAGCATGCACGTTAGCCCATTGCAGCCTCGAGCGCTAGGAAGCATTCATCCCACTTTATCGAGGAAGAGCCTGTGTCCTGGGTTAGCTGGTGGGGTTGGGGGTGGGGGAGGTCATGCGTGTCAGGGCAATTGCTCTCAGAAGGGATTCGAGGTTGGCAGGTCAGGATCTGTCACTGCCACCAGCGAACATGTCCCTTCCCCAGGCCTGGCCCCCGGTTCCCCTCCGAGAGGGGCTGGGAGTGGGCTGAGCAAGGGCTCCTCAGCCTCCTGGCACTGGGGGAAGGAGGGGGCAGGTGTTGCTGAGGCCTGGAGACGGGGAGCCACTGGCCCAGAGTGACTCAGCCGGCGTGTCCCGTCCGCTCTGCACCAAGACCCCACCTCACTCTGCCTCCCAGATCCGCTGGGCCTGGCTAACTCTCCTCCTCCATCCAAGGGTGTCCCCATAAGAAGGGACATCAGGTGGTGTGTGGTCTGCTGGACTGGGGCCCACCCCAGGATCCCTCCATGCATGCTGGCCCCCAACTTTGCCACGTTCCTTCTCTGGGGGGCGGGGAGGGGAGAGGCACCGTAGAGAGGTGCTGGTGGGCACTTGGGGCCTGCCCCTGCTCTGGCCAGAGGCCCCCCACGGCCGCCACACCTGTGTGTGGGATGGGGGAGGGGAAAGGACCCCACACAGTGGGGACAGGGGGATGGAGGGGTCCCTGCAGGCCAGGAGCACTGCGCCCGGCCAGACACTGTGCTGGTCCGGACTGCGCCATCAGCCAGCCCTGCCGGGCTCGGCGCCATCCAGGCCTGGGCAGAGAAGGCCTCTGCTCCCAACAGCTGTGGCTGCCGCGTCCCCTCCCCCCAGCTGGTCACAGGCTGTATTTCAGCGGCTCAGCCAGCCCCGTGCTCCTCTGTCTCCGGGCCCCCGGGTGAGCGGTGGGTGGGCAGCAGGTGCTGCGTCCTCTCCTCCACCCCCTCCCATCCATCACCTCTGCAGACGGCTGGTCCCTGTGTCGCAGACGCAGCCTCTGTTCCTCGTCTCTCCCGCTCGGCTGTCAGCATGTTCTGCTTTGCAGTCCTTCCCAGTCCTGCCTCCTGTCTGCAGCTCCCTCACCTCTTCCTTCTCTCCCGGCCCCAGGTGTGTGTGAGGCGGCATCCTGCCCTCCCCCCCCCCCTCCCTCACGGACCAGACGGCAGGGGAAAGGTGTGATGCTCAGGCCCACGGGAACCCCTCCGGCCAGCCCCCCCCCCCTGTGAGTGGGTGTGCAGCAGGCGGGGGGCCAAGTGCTGCCGTCAGCGGCTTCAGAGCCTTGCGGTCCCCTCCCGGCTGCGTCAGGCCTCCCCGGGGGGTAGGCGGGCAGCCCAGGGACAAGGACAGGGACGGGGTAGCTGACACACGGGACAGGGTGACGGGGAACCTCCCCCCCCCCCCCCTCTGTCTGAGCCTCAGGAGAGAGTGAGGGTGGGAGGAAAGCTGGACGCTGGCCCAGGCCGTCCTGGAGACCAGGAGGAGTGGGAGAAAGGGCCACAGGCAAGGTCACCTTGGGGGCTCAGGTGGGGGGAGCTCTGAGTGGCTGGGGTGGGGGATGGGAAGGGAAGAGATGGCATAGGACTAGCTCCCTCCCAAGCCTGGTCCCTTCTCCTCTTCCCTCTTCTCCCTCCCCCTCAGCCGTTTCACATCCCCCTCCACTCTCCCCAGCACGGCCTGAGGGGGTCCCGAGGCTGCAGCAGCTCAGCTCTGCCTGGCAGCCCCTGCGCCTGGCTGAGGGGCCCTGGTCTAAGCAATTCAGGTCTGAGGATGGGGGTGGGGCAGGGGGTCTCTGTGGGGCTCACGTTGCATATGTGCACACATGCATGCACATCATACATGTGCTCAACATGTCAACATATAGGTAGGTGTTTGCCCGTGTTCCCCTGAGATGCCCCCAGGGGCTGGGAGTGGGCTGAGCAAAGGTGAACACCTATGTTCACCCCTGTAACTGGCCACGAGGCCACGTAGCCCGTGCACACAGACAGCCGTGCGTGCTCTCGCCTGCCGCACCCCCGTCTGCTTGTATGTGTCAGCACACCCTGCGCCGGCGCTCCGAGCCACGCACACCTGCGCGTGCACCTGCATACAAATGCGGTCCCCAGACGTTCTCGAGGGAGGAGGTGCGGAGGGTTCTCGGGAAGGACAACTCGGCGACTCAGCCTCCTCCAGTACAGCCTCACTGCCTGTGTGTGTGTGTGTGTGGGGGGGGGGGATAGAGTGGGGAGTGGACTGGGGCCCCCAGAGGGATGAGAGGGACTGGCTGGGGGCCCCCTCGGGGCCAGAAGCCACACTGGACAGGAGCTCAGGTCTCTGACGTTAGTCCCACGGAGACTGCATTGCACGGTCAGGGGCAGACATGCTCCCTGCTGCCTGGGCACCCCTCCTTCCAGTTGCCCCACCCCCACCCGTCTGGGCCCTCCCGCCCCCAGCCCAAGCCGTCCTGCAGGGCCTAGGTGTGAGGCCTCCTCCGGGTGGCCCCGATCAGCCAGCCTCTGACTCCACGTCGGCCTGTAGCGGAGGGGTCATCTGCACGCCCTGGCCACCTGCCACTCCGCGGACACGGCCTGCGCGGCCTTCCCGGGGCACTCCTCCTCCCCGCCACCCTCTCCTCTGTCCCCGGCAGCCCCCTGGGGCCAGGCCTGCAAATTGGTTTTGCTTTAAAGACAAAGGTTTAACGTATTTCCCCCCTCAACGTGTTTTCCTTCCTGGAGTTTCCCAGGAGCAGCAGCAGCAGGAAGCAGAGGTGGCTCCTGTGAACAGGCTGAGGCTTTCTTTATCCAAACACGGATTTCTCTGCCTAATCTTCTCATCCCGGGCCACTGCCTAGGGCACGGGGTGGGAGTACCGGGCTCTTCCTGCAGCCGAGAGAGCCCTGGGTGGGGGCTGGTGAACGAGGGTCCGTCAGCTCCGAGCCCTGCGCTGTCTCCCCGTCCATCTGCATCTCGGGCGCGGGCAGCCCGACCTGCCTTGCTTCCCCAGTCAGGTGGCCGGCAGGGACCCGGTCCCCGCTCTGTGGCTGTGCAAACCGGCCCAGGACGTGCGTCTGATCTCAGAGCTGGGCTCCAGGCTTCCTGAGTTCCGCCGCCTCAGGAGCCTCGGTCCTGGCCCAGGTTGTGCTGTGTGACTCATGGCAAGTCTCTGCCCCTCTCTGATGGGGCTTTGATCGCGTTATTCCGGAGGCCTTTGGCTCTCTTGCCTGCCTGAGGGCTCCCCGCCAGGCCTCCCCCTTCCTCGGAGAAGGAGGGATTGGGGGTGGATGTGTGTCTGGCTTCACTCTCTTGCCCTCTCTTTCCCTCAGCTCTGCTCCTGTCTATAAGATGAGCTTGTCCCGTGTCCTCCCTTGTCGGAGACCCCAGCCCCTGCCCCCCTGTTTGGGGGCCCCCAGCCACGCGGCTCTGCTCCCCTCCCCTCCCCACGGAAGCCAAGACAAGGGAATTATTTTTGGAATGAGAGCAGTTACACAACAAATGCATTATTTATCTCTGGGCAGGGAGGATAGGAGGCATTTTGCTGGACTTCTTAATTCTTTCCCTCGATTGGAGGGTGCCTGCCCGGGTATGTGGCCATGGGTGTGTGGCTCATTTGTCCTGTACAAGACTAGGCGTGTGTGTGTGTGTGTGTGTGTGTGTCTGTGTGCATGCCGTGGAGTTTGGGTCATGTGGGAGCATGTGGGTCTTCGTGTGGGCAGGTGGGCGAGCGTGGACGTGGGTGTGCGAGGGCGCATGTGAGTGTGTGTGAGTGTGTGTGAGTGCGTATGAGTGCGTGTGCACCTGAACTGTTAACATGCTAGACTCCTTTCTGTGCCCACTGTCCTCAGACTCTGCCCCTCCGCCCTCCTTCCAGGCCCCAGCTCCTGCTTCCCTCTCTCACCGCCCACCGCACCCCCCTTTTACATAACAGACCCCAGCGTGCTGCTGGCAGAGAGGCCCCCCCGCCCCGGGAGGGTGGAGAGGGACTGGGGGCCTGCACTCGGACCCTCACACTGATCTGTCACCCCTCTCGGTGCTGCTTTTCAGGAACCAGGCGGCAGATGGGTGTCTTCCTCCCTGCCCCTGTCTCGCCGGCTCCCCCTGGGATCGTCTGAGCCCAGAACCTGAGGAGAAAGGAGAGGAGGAGGCAGAGGTGGAGGCGGGAGAGGAAGTCAAGCTCCTTCCCAGCAGAAGAGCCGCGTGGGAAGCAGGCTGTGGGGCCCGCAGCGCCCCTGGCCCCGGCCTGGCTGCGGTGCCCAGCACCTGCCGGTAGCGCCCAGAAGGCCCCCGGCCGTTGGGTCTGGCGGAGCCTGCCTCACCTGGGGCCCCTGTGCTGGGGGTCGCCCCCAAGATGGTGGCAGCCCCCGGGAGGACTGTGCTGCCCGCCCCAGCCCCGGCCCCGGCCCCGGCCTCCAGCCGCTAGGCTCCCCGTGCCTCCCGCCCCGAGCCCGGCCGGCCGGCGCCATGCTGCGCCTGGGGCTGTGCGCGGCCGCCCTGCTGTGCGTGTGCCGGCCCGGCGGCGTGCGCGCCGACTGCTGGCTCATCGAGGGCGACAAGGGGTACGTGTGGCTGGCCATCTGCAGCCAGAACCAGCCGCCCTACGAGACCATCCCGCAGCACATCAACAGCACCGTGCACGACCTGCGCCTCAACGAGAACAAGCTCAAGGCCGTGCTCTACTCCTCCCTCAACCGCTTCGGCAACCTCACCGACCTCAACCTCACCAAGAACGAGATCTCCTACATCGAGGACGGCGCCTTCCTGGGCCAGGCGAGCCTGCAGGTGCTGCAGCTGGGCTACAACAAGCTCAGCAACCTGACGGAGGGCATGCTGCGCGGCATGGGCCGCCTGCAGTTCCTCTTCGTGCAGCACAACCTCATCGAGGTGGTCACGCCCGCCGCCTTCTCCGAGTGCCCCAGCCTCATCAGCATCGACCTGTCCTCCAACCGCCTCAGCCGCCTGGACGGCGCCACCTTCGCCGGCCTGGCCAGCCTCATGGTGTGCGAGCTGGCGGGCAACCCCTTCAGCTGCGAGTGCGACCTGTACGGCTTCCTCACGTGGCTCGTGGCCTTCAACAACGTCACCAAGAACTACGACCGCCTGCAGTGCGAGTCCCCGCGGGAGTTCGCCGGCTACCCGCTGCTGGTGCCACGGCCCTACCACAGCCTCAACGCCATCACCGTGCTGCAGGCCAAGTGCCGCAACGGCTCGCTGCCCGCCCGGCCCGCCAGCCACCCCACGCCCTACTCCACCGACGCCCAGCGGGAGCCCGACGAGAGCTCGGGCTTCGGCCCCGACGACATCCTGTCGGCCGAGCCGCCCGCCTCGTCCACCACCGACGCGTCCGCCGGGCCGGCCATCAAGCTGCACCACGTCACCTTCACCGCGGCCACGCTGGTGGTCACCATCCCGCACCCCTACAGCAAGATGTACGTGCTCGTGCAGTACAACAACAGCTACATCTCCGACGTGATGACGCTCAAGAACAAGAAGGAGATCGTCACCCTGGACAAGCTGCGGGCCCACACCGAGTACACCTTCTGCGTGACCTCGCTGCGCAACAGCCGCCGCTTCAACCACACCTGCCTGGCCTTCACCACGCGGGAGCCCGTGGCCGGCGACCTGGCGCCCAGCACCTCCACCACCACCCACTACATCATGACCATCCTGGGCTGCCTCTTCGGCATGGTCATCGTGCTGGGCGCCGTGTACTACTGCCTGCGCCGGCGGCGCCGGCAGGAGGAGAAGCAGAAGTCCGGCAAGGTCAAGAAGACCATCCTGGAGATGCGCTACGGGGCCGACGTGGAGGCCGGCTCCATCGTGCACGCCGCCCAGAAGCTGGGCGAGCCCCCGCTGCTGCCCGTGTCCCGCATGTCCTCCCTCCCGTCCATCGTCGGGGAGAAGCTGCCCACTGCCAAGGGCCTGGAGGCCGGGCTGGACACGCCCAAGGTGGCCACCAAGGGCAACTACATGGAGGTGCGTACCGGCACCAGCACCAGCACCGGCACCGGCACCGGCACCAGCTCCGGCACCGGCACCGGCAGCGGCAGCGGCACCGGGGCTGGCTCGGGCACCGGTGGCGGGGACGGCCCGGCCCAGCCCGAGAGTAACCGCCCGGGCCCGGGCAACAGCCAGGGCTCGGCCACGGAGATCTCCACCATCGCCAAGGAGGTGGACAAGGTCAACCAGATCATCAACAACTGCATCGACGCCCTCAAGCTGGACGCGGCCACCTTCATCGCGGTCCCCGGCGGCGGCGCTGGCGGCGGCGGCGGCGGCGGCGGCGGCGGCGGCGGCGGGGACCCCGAGCTGGCCTTCGAGTGCCAGTCCCTCCCCGCGGCCACGCCGGCCTCCTCGGCGGCCTCCCCGGGGGGCCTGGAGCTCCCCACCTTCCTCCCGCCCCCGTTCAAGGAGAGCACCCACCACCCGCTGCAGCGCCAGCTGAGCGCCGACGCCGCCGTGGCCCGCAAGACCTGCAGTGTGTCCTCCAGCGGCTCCGTCAAGAGCGCCAAGGTCTTCAGCCTGGACGTGCCCGACCTCCCGTCCCCCGCGGGGCTGGCCAAGAGCGACTCCAAGTACATCGAGAAGAGCAGCCCCCTCCACAGCGCGCTGGACCGGCTCCCGCTGGTGCCGTCGGGCAGCAGCGGCAGCGGGGGCAGCGCCGGGGGCGGCGGGGGCAGCGTGCACCACCTGGAGGTGAAGCCGGCCGCCTTCCACTGCAGCGAGCACCGGCACAGCTTCCCGGCCCTCTACTACGAGGAGGGCGCCGACAGCCTGAGCCAGCGCGTGTCCTTCCTCAAGCCGCTCGCCCGCTCCAAGCGGGACTCGGCCTACTCGCAGCTCTCGCCCAGACACTACTACTCGGGCTACTCCTCCAGCCCCGAGTACTCGTCCGAGAGCACGCACAAGATCTGGGAGCGCTTCCGGCCCTACAAGAAGCACCCCCGGGAGGAGGTGTACATGGCCGCGGGCCACGCCCTGCGCAAGAAGGTCCAGTTCGCCAAGGACGAGGACCTGCACGACATTCTCGACTACTGGAAGGGGGTCTCGGCCCAGCAGAAGCTGTGACCCTCTCCTGCCCGGTGAGGCCGGAGGGGCAGGGCGGGGGCAGGCGGGCGGGGAAGGGCCCGGGGAAGCCGGGCGGGGGCGGCCGGACGGGGGCGTGCCGGGGGCCCGGGCCGAGGCCGAGGAGCGGACGACGCACACGCACACCCACACGCACGCACCCACGCACACACCTGACCACCACCTGACTGTGAACAACCACCACCCGACTACAAGGGACAGGAAAACAAAGACACGTTCTCCTTAAAAGTTTACACAGATACCGACACCAGGCGTCTTTACTGTGCTGCCCAGGGACTCTGCCGGGGCGTGCGGGGCTGCTGGGCGGGAGGCCGGGCGAGGAGGCCGAGAGAGAGAGAGAGAGAGAGAGAGAGAGAGAGAGAGAGAGAGAGAGAGGGAGGGGGGGGGGCGCCTGGGGCCCTGGGACAAGGGACAGGTTTGGGGGCAAAGGAGCTGGCAGCAGGGAGAGGTCCCCTGCTGGGGGACGGGAGGTTTAGCACCAGGTGGACATGGGGCGTGGCTCCCTCCTTTACGGATGGGGAAACCGAGGCCCAGGGAGCGGAGGTGACAACCCAGGGTCACTGGACAGGCGAGAGTCAGTTTCTCAGCACGGAAGCCCAGCGCTAGCCCGGACCTCCAGCGGGTCCCCTGGGGCTCCCACCCTCCACCCACCCACCACCCCTTTCCAGCGGTGGTCCCCTGGGGCTGAGGGACCTGAGAATCCAGCGGGTGCTTTTTCTTTCTGGAAAGCCCCATGGCCGTGCCCGCAGAGCCTGCAGCTGGGATTCATCCTGCTGGGGGGCCCTTCGTCCCCATTGGCACCCGGGAAAAGAGCAGAGGACACCCCACCAGCCCCTTCACGTGTCTTCCAAGCAGCCTGGGAGCTCCCTCTGGGGTCTGAGCCCCGTGGGGGGGCCAGCTCCCACCGCCTCTCAGAGGCAGGGCTCCCTCCCGCCCCCCAGCTCTCTGAGTCCCCAGGACCCCTGCTCATCCCGGGGGGCAGCAGCGAACCGGGATGCTGGGAGCAGCGGGGAGGCGGGCACCCTCCATCCTGACCTCCGACCTGTTTGACTCCCATCATGGGGTCTTGGGGCAGCGCCTCAGCCTGCCCGGAGGAAGGAGGCTTCCTCACCCCGCTGCCCCTCCCAGCTGCCCCTCCCCCGGGCCCGAGGGGCCCCCATATTTCCATCCATATATGGAAATGGCCCCTCCTCCTTCGCTGACCCCCACCCGACATCGAACAAAGCACAAACAGTGAGCACCCCCCTTCCTGGGGGGAAGCGGGCTGGGTTTGTGGGGCCCCTCCCTGTCCCTGGTTGCCTCTGTCACCATGGCAACCCAGAGCCTGGCAGTTGGGACCGTTGGGCTCCTGGAGGTGGGCTCCTGCGGGTTCTCCCGGCCAGGGCGCGGCGAGGCAGGGCAGGGCCTGAGGGCAGCTGCCTTGCTCATGAGCTAGGGGCTGCCTGGGGTGAGCTCTGGGGCAGGTCTGGGGTCCTGGGCGCCGTCCGGGCCTCAGGGGGTCAGCCGGTTGTCCCCGGCCTTTGGTCGGTGAGCGAGGGCAAGCCTAGCCTGGCCCGCCTGCCAACCTGCCCCCTGGCTCCGCACACACCTCAGGGCGGGCGGGGCGCAGCCCACTCAGCCCTCCACCCACCCCTCTCTGCTGGAGCCCCAGCCTCCGGGCCCGTCACCAGTTGCTTTCTGAATATTTGGGAAGTGTGACGACGGGGGGGGAGGGTGGGCGCCGGGGTGGGGCCGAGACCTGCACTGTGTGGAAGGCTCTGACCAGCAAAGCCAGGGCCTCCCTGCCGGCGGGACAGTGGGGACCAGGGGGGACCGAGGGCCTCTCTCGCACCCACGTGGGGGACGGACCGAGCCCGGGCTCACTTTGGGGTGACACTGACGCAGAAAGGACTGTTCAGGGAGCGGAAGGGAGGGGACCGCATGAATATGCAGAGAAGACCTCCCCTACCTCCCCCAAACCCGCTCCCAGGCTCTCCTCACACCGATGGGCAACACCGAGGACAGCGAGCCGGCGCGAGCCAGCGGTGTGAGAGAGCAGACTCCCTGTTATATTTGCATGATGATTTTCCTGTATTTTTCTGAGCAAACATCTGTCGTGTATGTGCCGGTTTGTCCAGACTCCCCTGCCCCCCTCCTCAGCCCCCCCCCCCATCCCCCTTTGCCCACGAACCCTCCGGGGTGATCTGACAAGCAGCTCTTGACACCCGGGAGGCCCAGCTCTGCCACAGACCCCAAACAGGTGCCACCCAAACGCCGCCCTCGCCCACGCCTGCATCCTGTCTTTCCCAACTTGGGGCTCACAAGTGCCACCTCCCCTCCTCCCTCCGTCCCTCCCGTCCACGGTCCCTTCCCGTCTGTCCTCCCTGCCAGAGAGGGGCAGCCCCGGGGAAGGGTCGTGGGGAGACCTCTGCCCTGTCCCACTTGCTCCCGTTTTGCAGATGGAGCAGTCGGGACCCCCAAAGACGGAGGGACCAGGTGGGGTGCGGGGTCAGGGGCCCTGCTGAGGAGGCCAAGGGCTAGGGGCTTCGCGGACGGCTTTATGGGGAGGGTTTGGGGCCTGAGGGAGAACCCCCGGGAGGAACCGGAGAACTGGGGCCAGAGGGTGGCCCCCAGGGAGGGTGCTGGCAGCAGGAGCGGGGCCTCTCTTTGCCACGCCCCGCCATTCCTGGTCGAAGTTGACCTAGGAGACCGCGGACGGGCACTTTGGGGAGCTGTATGGACAGGCTTCTGTCTTAACAGCCAGAGTCCTGCCACCCCAGGGGGTGAACCGGCCTTCACCACTAGGCCACCCCGGTCTTTGGGGCAAAACAGTTTCTAAAACTCGGGCCTCTGGAGTTCCCTGCCAGCTTCATCCCTCAGCTGCCCTCGCTCTAGGGCAGAGATCCCTCCCGCACCACAGCGCCCCCCGGAGGCTCCCTGCATGCGTGTCCCGCTCAGGGTGATTCCTCCCCAGGCCAGAGCATAGTCACAAAAGACAGATGCCACAGAGTCCGGCTGGCCAGGGCCCCGTGTCTGTAACGGTGGACGGGGACGGGGGCCGCGGCCTGGGCCGGGGGCCCTGGCGGCGTTGGGGGACCAGCCGTCTGGAGGAGACGTGGGTGCTGTGCCCGGACCTCCTGGCTGAGGCCCCCCCTGCTTCGGGTCTGGCCTGGGCTGGCTGTCGGAGCAGCTCCAGAGGGAACCCCTGGGTGCCCGTTCCTGGGGGGTGGCTCCGAGGGGCCTGCTCTCCCCTGAAGGTTACAGCAGGCCCCCCAAACCTCTGTGGGAACCAGCGGCTTTCCAGAAGGGAGCCCCTCGCTGGGGGTTCTGGGGGGGGGGGGTTCTCCTCTCTGCAGGAGTGGCCTCTCCCTCGGCCTCTGCGCCCTCCCAGGGGGCCGTGCAGGAGGACGAGGAGGCCGCCCGGGTCCAGGCGGGCAGGGGGGGGGACGGCGGTGCGGAGGCCCCCGTGGGAAGAGGGGACGGGAGGGCCCCAGAGAGGCAGAGGGGAGTCCGGGCCTGGCCGAGCAACCCTGACGCTCTCAGCCGGAAGTCGTTCCCTGTCCCCCTCCTGGGAATTGAAGAGGGAGAAAGGGAAGGAGGGGACTCCTCTAGGGTCTTGTAGGAACAGACTGAGGCCAGGACGGCCGTGGTCGGTCCCACGCTTAGATGGGGTTCACATACAATGAAGGGACAGCCACAGACTGCTCCCCAGGGGTGGACACTGTGCAGGGAATGAAACGGGGGTGAGCAAGGAAGAGGGGGGCCCGGGGGCCCCTCAGAGGAAGAGATCCTTGGCAGCCAAGCTCTGAAGGGCACGAGCCAGAGGACTGGCTGCCGGCCGCGTGAGCGTGAGGCTGGAGGGCGAGGGGCTGGGCCTGGCTGATGCCCGGAAGTGCCTCCTCCCCAGGTCACCCCCACCCTCTGCCCCTGCCCTCCGAGAGAACCTGCCACTCAGCAGCACCACACCCCCTCCCTGGACAAGTGGGGCCCTCTTTCCCAGCGGGGGGGGGGGGGGGGAAGGCTGGGAGGGTGGGCAGGGCCTGGGGAAGCCCTGGGGTGTCTGGTAGCTGTTAGAGTGAAGGTTGGGGCTCCCCTGATTCCAGGGCTGTTCTCTCCGCTGAGACGTCTGCTCAGCCCCAGACGCTGCACACCCCTTCATCTGGCCCTGTACCCCCACCTTTAAGACAGAACCATGCGCACACTCCCTGCCTCTCACGCCGGCCCAGAGTCCCCGTCCGAGGTCCCTCGCTGCTGCCGAGCAGTGGGGAGAGGGGAAGGGGGTGGGTGGGGAGAGTCCTCTTACAGCCCCTGCCCCTGCCCCTGCCCCTGGCCACCCCAGTCCGGTGCATGGCCAGGGGTGAGGGGTCCATTTTCCCACCCTCCGTCCTCCTTCCCCCACAAGGAGCCCCACCCCCGGGCCCCGGGGCTTGGCACCTGGTTTGGGTCCCGCAGAGCTGGGCCGGGCCCTGGGCCCAGAACCTGTGAACCCTCGCTGTGTGGGACCTTTCCTCCCTGGGGGGCCTGAACCCTCCCCTTTCCTTCTTTTCGGGGGGGCGATTTCTTTTCTTTTCTCTTCCCGGCACCTTCCTCTCCCTCTCCCCAAATCCCTGTTTTAAACTGAATGGCACGAAATTGTTTTCCTCAACTCGAAGATTCCTGTATGGAGAGAATCAATTTCTATATTTGCAATAAATTTCTTATTTAAAACAACGGGGCCAAGGTCTGTGTTGACTGTCTCTCTCTCTCTCTCTCTCTCTCTCTCTCTCCACCGCCCCCCCCCCCCCCCCGCCGCCCCCCTCCCAGGTCCCCAAGTTGGAGTCCCAATGAACCAAGTCTCTGGTGCCTCCTGCCCGTTCCCTCTCCCCTCGGCCTCCCAGGCAGGGGTGAGGGAGGAGGCGCATTGGGTGTGCGGCCCTGGAGAAAAGGGGTGTCTGCCCACAGGGTGGGCTACCAGGAAGGTAGAGGCTGGATGCCCCCTCTGCCCGCTGCCCTCGCTCCCTTCC